AATCATTTAATCCAGTGGTTCCCAACATTTTTAGACTTGTGTACCCCAGAGTCATATTGTCGTACCACTAGTACCCCTCAGGCAAACATAATGATGATTCTCTGAAACTATAACGTACAACAACKTATTATTAAATGAAAATTATTTATTTAACCCCCTAGAACGTTTAAATCTGTCATTTTAGTCTTTTCAACTCAAATTAAACAAATAAAAAAATGTTGCCTTGAAAGTGAATAAGTATTTAAATAAATAAAGCAGGTAACGGCAGGTGAAGCAGCAGAGTCCAAAAWACATCAAAAACCCCAAATGAGCAAATTCTGTGAGATTCCACATTTTAAACTGGATTCCATTTTTTTTTCACTTTCTTGATTCCATTTGCATTTTTCACATTGCAGAAATCATAGAGCCTTACATATCTCAGTCCTATTTTTATTTACTTTTTCACACACCTGGAAAGTATCTCCTCTGTGAAGCCAGCTGGTCTCCAGCAGCAGCCTTTACAAAAAAATCCATCCATCCCACACAGATCAGATCAGGATCTTCTGTCTGACCCTCATCAGGACTTTACAGTGTCCCTGCAAGCTGGGAGGAAAAGGAAAGTGAACAGAAACACATCCACAATACGGCCTGTGGATAATCCTGACTCAGCGTTTGTCAAATCAGTCACAGAACWTCTTGTTTGTCACTGCTGAGAAACTCCAAACGTTCTTCTTCATTTCAAACCTAACAGGACCCTCAGACCGTCTGGTTCCCCCGAACTCAGTCTCACTGGACCGAGACGTGTTGAGGACTCAGTTTTAAGAGAATGTTCCAGTTCCTAAGAGYGCAGCTTGCCAACCTGTATTCTCACCTGGGTGCATTCTTTAGCTGCCCACATCGTACCCGCTGCTCTCACACACATTTATCATTTAATCTAAGAGCATATTTGAAAAGACGGACAGATTTAGATCAGTTATAAATATTATTTTTACACCSGGACATGTTTTGGGTCAAAGCAGAGCCTAACGCAGAGGACTGGTGTTTGTGTTGTTTTCAGGAGAAAGGCCTGGAGACCTCCCTGCAGCACACCCAGCAGCTGTACTCCACCCAGCTCCACCACCTGTCCCAGGTGATCTCCGGCCTGGAGCAGGAGCTGGAGCAGGTGAGGAGCGGCCTGACCGACCAGCGCCAGCGCCACGGCCAGCTGCTCAACACCAAGATGAGGCTGGAGCGAGAGATCGCCACATACCGACGGCTGCTAGAGCGAGAGGAGGACAGGTGATGTCTGGGGGCGGTTCTAGGGGTGGGGCCACAGGGGCACTGGCCCCAGCTGAAATCTGATTGGCCCCCTGAAGTGCCCCTGTCCTGTCACTCATCT